AAGTGTCAGAATGTTTTTGTTTGTTTTTGGCAAATAGACTGTTTGGATCCAACAATTCCATTATTGTCTTATGGCATTTGCAGAGGAAAAAAATAGATGAGCAATTTCCCTTTCTTCCTCTAATTCGCTTTGTCTCTCACTTGGGAGCCTCATACTGAACACCTGTGATCTACTCAAGACAGCTCCCTAGCTTTTTTAGCTAATTGAAAGTTTAAAAACTTTCAAAGTCACTTGAAGAAATTGAAGTGTTATACAGCTATTCTATGAAAGGGAAATCAAAAGCACAGGAAGCAATTACGTACCTCTTCTGGTTTCACTTCTCTGCTTGTGAAATCCTTCACGCAATCCAGGATCCAGTGCTCTCATTGTTCAAATAAATGAGACGCTGCTGTCTCTGTTCATGGTCTAAAGTTTAAATCGTATTGTTAGAAAACTACTCTTATCTCAGGAGATAACTTAGGGCTTAGGGAAGGACAAAAGTACTCTATGTCTTTTAGACTAGGAGATGAAGTAATACAAGGTCTTCAAAGCCATCACCTCTGAATACAGCATCTTACCTGCTTAATCTGATCAGATTCTGATATTTGTCCAGCCATATTCTACAGTCTCCGATTCAGTTGCCTATTCTGAAGGTTAAAAAAAAGCACAAAAAACATAAGCATTAACTACATTTTATAGCAGAATGGAACTGACATATTCTTTAATGTGTTTACAGGCAACTTTGTTAGCAATCTTTCAAACTATTCACTTGAAGAAATTTATTAATTTGAAATATATTCAGTTAGTAGAACATTTAAAACACCTCCCTGCCTAGATCCACCTGTAAACTGCTGGTCTTTTATCATTGCTTTTAGGCATTTCAAGCAGATAAAATGACTATAAAGTGAAGAAAAAAAAAAGCAGCAGCATTTTATGAATGCTTTTAAAGTAATAAAATAAAATTGGAGGAAAAAAAAAGAGAAACAAGCAATAACATTCTCTAGCCTTGTAGTTACAATGACTTTGGGGCTCAATTGAAACAACACTAGGGAAAAAAAAAGCAAGTGTAAAACAACAGCAACTTTGAACAGCTGCAGCATTATATAACCCAGCTTGGATGACAGAAGCAATTATGTAGCTGCTTTCTCACAGTATACTTAAAAAACTAGAGGAAACCTCCGGTCTAGTAAATTAAATGTCATAAAGGAATGAGAATATCCTTAAAGGCAGGGAAAAAAAAAAGGGGGACAAAGAAAAAGAACAAGCAGCCAGAGATCCAAGAATTTAAGCAAGTACCTTAAAGGAATCCAACGCAGCCAACAAGTTAAGGCTTGAGAGTAAACCAGGAGGTTTCCGACAGGAATGCTGAGAGCTGCTCTTCCTTTCTCCTTGATTTACGTATTATCCAAGCCCTATCACAGACAGTAGCCCAATTTAATATTACACATCTGAAAGAACAGAATCTACCCCTTTCTATCATGTCAACTTGTAGACAGCAGATCAGCACTGGAAAGTAATCACTTTGCAAAAACAAAAACAAAAAAAGTTCATTTTGCCCTTTGGCAAAGGCGACTCATAATTAAATTCTCGCATTACACTTTTGCCAAATTTTGAGCAAGGCATTTATGTTTTAGAAAGCTCAAGATACTATTCCTGCCTCCTGGTGGTGTGCAGAGCATTAGCAAGCCTTCTGAATAGGAACAAAAAACATTAATAGTGTTTTTTACAGGAGGAGGAAACAAAGACACCCTTTGTCTGCCCTTTAGTTGCATTTTATGGCTATGTACAAAGTCAGCCCAGGTAGGGGATGTAGAAAACACATATGATTTTATGCTTAAGATGCCTCCCTCCCTCCCCGATCAAGAATTCCTTATGGATACACAGATCACACAGCTCTCTGCTTGAGGGAGAACTACATTCTTACGGTTGCTCTGAAGGATCAAGGTGTAACTCAGGTTAATATCAACCTCTAACTTGTTTTAGAAGTGAACACTGTCAGCTGGAACAACAGCTGGAGAAAATGGATGGCAGTGGCTCTCATTCCTCACTCTGCTATAAGAAAAACCAGCAGCAATTCTACAAAGCCAGTTCCTGCAGATGATTAAACCCAAGTGTTAAAACCCACAGGGAACAGAAAAGATTTCTGTCCTCTCCCAAGCATAAAAAGCTAAAAGCATCAACTCCCATCAGTGCCATTTTCGCACACATAGTGTTTTGTTTCATTGTTTTTCTTTATCACAAATCTGATTTTTTGTTCTTCTGTCACTAGTTTGCCAAGTTTAAAATTGCAGATTTACAGAACTGCAGTTTCACAGAGCTTTTGCATCTGCACTTGGGAAATAGCTCCAATCAAAACCAGCCCAGTGGCACTATCTGATTTTAAGTGCCTGAACCAATTCCTGAGGCAATAGCTCCTCCCCAGGTGATGCACACTTTCCATACAGAAGGCAGTGAAATTACACAGCTCTATCACACATTTTCAGTAGCTACAAATCATGCCCAGTTGGCCTTAACCTCTAAAATAACTAGCTGAGCATCCCTGGAAATTTTTTTTTGCCCTCCTTCCCCCAGACTGTGAAAGAAGAGAAAATAAGGAAAAGGGTAGAAGAACCCCTTACATGGCTGGCACCTGGACTAAAATATGAGAGAGCTTCAAATGCAGCTGCTCACTGAACTCCAGCAGGTTGAAGCCTCAGAGGATTCTGTTCCTCTGAGCTGCTGCTGTAACTTGTAATGTAATTGCAATGTAATGTGAAAGCTGGGCATTGCCCTTTTTAATGCCAGTCTCACTGAAGGCAGCAGAGTGCTCCAAATAAAGCACTGCAGCAGCAAGGGCAGTGGGTGGTTATATGAGAATGGATGGACATGCTGGATCTCCAGGATTATTTTAACTGTGCCCCTGGGCAGCTGCCTCCATCTTACCTCTATGGAACTGCTGTGAGTTCCTACAGGTGAAATGCACTCTGCAAACTGCGGGGGGGAAGCTCTCCTTAGTGAGGAAGTTCTTTTCACTGATGTAAAAAACACTAGTGCCTATTACCTAATCTTAAGCCAGGGGTGTCTTTTCTCATAAAAGCTGAGCAGGCTATTGGAGGTTTTCTTCCCTTCCGCAGGGGGTTTACGCCTGTGTCCAGAGGAGGGTGGTAAGGGAAACATACCACCGAAGTGCTTCTGCACACGTGTGCCAGGAACAGAAAAGAAAAATACCTAGTTAAAGAAATGCTTTAAGATAACACTTTTTCTACAAGCTATGGCTGTTTTTTTTTTTTTTTAAGTAGCAGTAGGGATTTGCTAGGCTAAAACTCGATTAACCTCATATTAAAAATAACAAAAAAAGGCAGCTTGACATGTGGAGTATTCTTTTCCCGAAGCTAATTAAATTGTAAATACATGGGAAACCAACAGGCAGCTAAGTTAAATACCTAGAATTCAGGGCAAGACACAGGCAATAACCCCCACGAGATGGGAAGTTCAGTGTTAACACATAGTCCTGCTCTTGCCACGAGGCTGCCCTGCGCCCTCTCCTGTCTGCAAGGCAGAGGAGAGAGCTCATGAATCGGGTCCCCCTCACATTGGGTCCGACTGCTCCACTTCGGACTGTGCATTTGTGAATACAAAGCTTCTCTTTCCAGGCCACAAGCTATGCAGGTGATTACATGAGAAAAGGATGAGTCAAAAGGTGGCTGGGTAATAAAACGTGCTGGGTGCTACTGGTTATGCTTCACTGCCTCATGTTTGTGGGTTAGAGTCTGCTCTGGAAAAAATAAATAAAAACCTATGGCAGAAAGACCTGCAAATGCCAAAGAGGGGCTAATAAGTTTGAAATCGGACAACTGGAGAGATTCTGTAACAGATTAGATACACACAAGGAGGCCTTCTACCTTGAGAGAGAGTATGTACTTTTTTTTTTTTCCCCTACTAAAGTTAGATTAGGCCTGGCCAACACCTGTGATCTCCTGAGGCCAAAGCCTGAGCCGCTGCAGCTGAAGGGGAAGCAGTTCCACTGCAGTTCCGTGTCCTGCTCTTTACCCCATCCTTCAGGTCCTGCCCTCAAGGGCACCTTGAGCCTCCTTGCCTCGCCCCAGCCCAGCAAAAGAGCGACGCACGCCGGGCCTGTGCACGTCTGTCTCAACTGCTTCCCGAGTTAAGGGGGTTCGGGCCAGAAAGCCCGGATCTGAGCACACCGCCTTCTCGGTCTATCACCGCGCACCCGGCTAGGGCCGTGAAAGGTTCCTCCGTTCAGCGAGACGTTTCTGGGGCCCCTCTCCCCGCGCCTCCAGCGAGCG